TCCTGCTGTGTGACCTGGTTCCTAACAGGCCACAGACTGGTACCAGTCCATGGCCCAGGGGTTGGGGACCACAAGGGTAAAGGACATTGGAACTAAGAATGGGGGAGGATGGGGAAGAAGGTGAGGGATAAAAACTTACCTATTGGGTACAACGTACACTACTCTAGTGACGGCCACAATAAAAGCCATTCAGCATTATACAATTCATTCTTGTAACAAAAACAATTGTACTCTCCTTATATTTTGAAATAAAATTTTTTTTAAATGTTTAAAAATCAGGAAAAGAAAAAGATTAATCATACCAAGTATTGGTGAAGATTAAGCAGAACATTCATTCACTGCTGGCGGGAACATAAATGATACAACTACTTTGGAAAACAATTTGTCAGTTTCTTAAAAAGTTAAACATAACCTACCATACATCCAGCCATTCCACTCTAAAGTATTCCCAAAAGAAATGAAAGCGTATGTCCAAAGACTTCTGCATGAAAGTCCATAGCAGCTTTATAAGGAATAGCCAAAAATTGGAAACAATCTAAATGCCCATCAGCAAGTGAAAGGATGAACAATTGTTGTGTATCCATACATTGGAATACTATTCAGCAATAAAAATAAACTACTGACATACCATTGATGAATCTCAAAATAAATATGCTATGTGAAAAAAGCCAGACGAAAAGGGGTGTGTGTGTGTGTGTGAGATTCCAGTTACATAAAATTCTAGAAAATACCAACAAATCTATAGTGAGAGAAAGCAGATCAGTAGTTGCCCTGGGACAGACAGAGGCAACAAGAAAGAGAAGGAGGGATTTGAAAGGGACACATGGAAAACTTCTGAGTGTGATGGATATTTTTATGATTTTGATTGTGACAATAGTTTCAGAGGTAAGTACATATGACAAAACTTATCAAATTATACATTTTAAATAAATTGTACATTTTACATTATACAATTTATTTTATGTTCATTATTCCTCAATAAAGCTTTTAAAACTAATTTAAAGAAAAAATAACTATTACATTGAATTATTAAATATTTCACTTTGAAAGTACTAAGAAGGAAAAATAGTGCCATAAGAGTAGTATATAATAAGGGGTAACCTAGTCTGAGGAGTCAGAAAAGCCTCCTTTAGAAAATAGTATTTAAGCTAAGATTAGAAGGATAATCAGTAATTATCCAAGCAAAGACCAGACAGGAGAGTTCAGAGAAGTAACAGTGTATGTAAAATGCACTGAGGCCAAAAAGAATGTGACACTTTCAAGGAACTTTAAAAGACAAGTCAACACAGAGGAGAGGAGGGGTGAGTCTAATCTGCTAAAGAAGCCAAATCATGCAGACATGAGTTCTAGAAAACCACAAGTAACTTACTTTATAAAATTAGGATCTTAGAAACACTCAATTTAAATTATTTTAAATTCCTACTATATGATTATATATTTTAAAAATGTAAAGATAAATCCATTGATATAAATTATCCATTATAATCTTACTTTGAAATGAAGTCTTGGGGCCTGGGAACATTCAATTTAATTTTATAGTTATTGATAGTTTCCTTACAATTAATAAAAAGAATTCCAAATATATTTGTCTTTATACATGCATATATTTTTTAATAGTAGCTTAGGGAAAATGTTTAAATATTTAATCCTGCCCCTTTTTGTTTATAACCTAATTCCTAACATATCCTCATTTTGCTGCCACTGGAAATAGAATACTCCCATTATAAATGTGTGAAATTCAGTATCCAAGTTTGACTAACCTAAGAAGTTAAAAAAAATTATCTATATACATTGAATAAGATTTAATAGATGACTTTAGGAAAATATGTTTACAATAATAAATTTACATCTACAAATAATTGACAATATAGTGATATATTTTCCAATCTCAGAGCATTGATTTAGGTTATATTGTTTACCTAAGAAAAATGAGAAGTCATAGGTTCCAAAGCCATATTAGCAAGAAAATGTCTAAGGTTGAACACACAAAATATAAATTTATAGAAATACAAATCTCAGCTACTCTACAAAAATAATTCTAAAGAACTAGTTTCTCAAAGAGAATGTCATTCACGCAAATAAATTTTAATAATATTTTCTAGCCTAACATTACACTAAGCTACTCAAATAAATACAATTTGAATTAGAGTCTATCATGCCCTTGATTATTATATCTCAAACATATTTTCTTATTCTCAGTCCTAAGTCCTATAGTATAGCCTTAGCTGAAAATCATTGTTCCTTTTGTTTTACCTGTGTGAGGAATGGCTTATAATTCTGAGTGTTTTATTCTTTTCAAATGGAAACAGAAGACTGGAATCAATGCTAAGAGAACTGAAGTACCACTTTTGATACTATATTTGCTTCTTCATTTCTTCCCCCAACCGTCAATCTTCCATCCTAAAGAAGCATTTGAATAATACTTTTATTCCCTAGTAAAACCCCTGTAGTAAAAAAAAAGCTAAGTTACCATGGAGCCAACCAATTACTTTTGACACCTGATTACCAAGATTGATCAATCATTTTTGATGTCTGTTTGTAAGGTTGCTATCCTCCAATTTAGTAAAAGACTTTCAAAGATAATTAGTGAAGTGAGAATTTCTAGTTAAAGTCTTTCCCACTGTGATATTACTTCAAATGCCAGCTAGAACAAGCTACTATCTTCAAATAAACCTTTCATAGCTTAGCATGTATTTTACAAAGAATTCTTTTCTTCTAAATATGATTCTTCTCTTTAACATTAAATACCAACATTTTCTTTATCCCTAAGAGTACATAATAAAACACAGATAGTTGTACCATTTATATTTACTCTAATTAGTAGCTTGCATTTCACAGAAAAATGCAAAAGCATCTACCAATAGAGTACAATGAATCATGGAAAATAACAGCTTCCAAGGAAATTATGAATATTCAATGATTAATGCAGAATTTATTGTTATTTAACTATATCTATATTAAATATCTATTCTTCTTTTATTCACTAATGTATTTTGTTTATGAACACCATCTCTCAATGTTACTTAATCTAGTTTTAACTTAATCTGTGATCTTTCAAAGTGGGACAACGTCTGCTAGTGAGGTCACAGGCTGCTGATCCAGCTGATTAACAAGTTCCACTACTTTAAAATGTAAATTTCTCAGGACTGCAGCAATTTTTGTCCTTTTTAGACAAATGGAGCAAATCCACCTACACACAGGCCAATATCCCTAAATTACATACAAATGAAGCAATCTCCCTATGTAAAAAAAAAAAAAATGGATATGGCTTTTTTTCACTGTTGGCTGCCAGTTTATATGTTCAAAATTCTCCTGCTAGGTAAAGAGACTGGTTGCTATTGTCACAGCAAAAGTCTAAGAACACTTGAGTAAAAAAGGCTGCTAACAAGCACAATTCAGTAAGATCTCTTTCCTCTTCTTGAAACACTTTTTAAACTTTTAATTAACACCTCTCCCAAATTAAAAAAAAAAAAAGTATTTAAAAAACTATGGTACTGTGCTTACTTGTAAAAATATTAACCCTAGAAACATTTCAACCTATTATGACAAAAAAATTTCATAAAACTTCACTTTGAAATTTCACTTTCAAAAACCAGCAAATTAATTTAAACAAATTAATTTAAATAGTAGAATCTACCTAAAATTTTTAAGTGCCATTTTTAAAAAAATACATTTTTATATTGAGTTTTAAGGGGCATTGTTTTAATCAGTTCATAGTAAAAGTAAAAAAAAGAAAAAAAAAAGAAAATATGCTGTGTTTAAAACTCCAGGAAATTGTCCTAGAATACATAAATAAGGTGAACCATATTCTTACCTTTGGCTTTAGAGCCCAACAGACAATTTCACCTAGATTTTGCTATTATCCTGACAATAAATATTAGTTACGTACAATGTGTATTTTCAGAGCCACAAACCATCCAGCAAACTTCATATGAAGTCTCTAGAAGACTAAGAAGCTTTCTTAATGACTGTTAATCTGCAAGTTATCAGAAGGCTACCCTAATAGCTTTAACTAACTTATTTGTTTACTTCCCCTACACCACCTATTTCTTTTTATATCAGGCAGGAATGTAATAAACATCAACCAACAGGGGGAAAGTATCTCTACCTTAGTAAAGCAAACTCCGTAAGCGCCCTGAGCTTCAGAAAAGCCAAAGTGGTGTTCCCACGTAATAGCTGATAGTGAATTAACCAGTTAGAAAAACCCATTATCTCCACCACATAAAAACGTTCTGGTATTTCATCCTTTTATCTAACCTAAAGTCACCTTGTATTTCTCAATCCAAGATTGTCTAGCAAATTAAATACAGCACATTCGCTAAAAGTACACATTCTGGAGTAAAGCTGGCTAATTTGGAATCACAACTTGGCCCTTTCTAACGTGTTATGTTGGGCAAGTTACTTAAAGGCATTGTCTTGATTTCTCTCCGTAAATGCAATTCTAGTAACTCACAGAGTTGTTGTGCGGAACAAATGACATAAAGCGCTCAGGACAGTGTTTGGCACATAGCGAGCCCATCATAAACTCTTCTTATGATCACTATGATGATTACTAAATAAACTAAAATATTAGCAGGGGTCACCTCTACAGAGAAGAGTAGGATGGGGGAAGAAAGAGGTACCGGTGGACCATAACTTTGAACCTTTACCCTTTTGTATTTGAATTTTTCACAATGCGCATGTGTTTCATGAGTTTTTTGCATAATTTCTGATTTAAAAATATTGTCCTAACAAAATGGTGTTTGTAATCGTAACTGATTGTGAAAATGTTCGTGCTCAGCAGGGAATCAGAAGTCGCTGCGGACACCAGGAACGCTCAGGAAAGGCTTCGCTCCACGTCGGTCAATGCTCCGAGCGGGCCCTAGTGTCCCCGGCGCGCCCGGGGCTGGAGGGGCGCAGCGCGGACCCCGCTCCCGGACGGGGGATCCGAGGCCGCGGCGGGGGAGGCCTCGACGGGAGTGGGACAGGGCTGAGGTTCGGGGTCCGGAGAAGGCACTTACTTGAACCTGCCCTGGCAGTGCTGGCACTGGTCCCCCACCCAGCCCGGGTCGCAGAGGCAGGTGGAGTTGACACAGCGGCCCGAGAAGCAGGAGCCCGTCCTCTCGCACGGCTTGGACTGGGACACCTGCGCGTAGAGCGCCAGGTAGAGGAAGCCATAGCACAGCAGCCAGCTGTTCCCGTCCAGCAGCCAGGAGGAGGCGCCCCCACCGCCGCCGCCGCCGCCGCCGCCGCCCGCCGGCCGAGCCCTCCACAGCCCCCGGGCCGCCGGCTGCGGGGGACCGGTGCGGGCCCGGCCCCCCGGCTCCATCTTCCCCAGAGCCCCTGCCCGGCGGGGCTGCGCTCGCAGGCGCAAACGGGGATGCTCCTGAGAGGAATTCTGGCCGGAGAAAACCTCGCCGCCGCCGCCGCTTCTCCTCCTCCTCCTCACCGGCGCCTGTCCCAGTCCCGCTCCCCGGTCAGGAGGGACAGATCCCAACCGCTGTCGCCTCCGCTCGGCTGCCTCCAGTCGCTCTCCGGCATCGCCGCCCAGTCTCCTGACCTTGTCCTTAGCGGGCCGACCCCACAGCCGCAGCACCCGGGCCGGGCCAGCGGCAAAGAGCAGGCGGCGCAGGCTGCGCCCGGCTCTCGTGAGGGGACCTGACCGGGAGGAGGAGGGGACCTCGCGCGCGGCCCCGCCTCGCCCGCGGCCCGCGCCAACTGCCTCAGCTCCGAGAGCCGCGCGCCCGGGAGGGCGGGGGCCGAGCGGGAGCCCCGAGGTGGGCGCGCCCAACGCGGAAGGGGGGGAACGCGGAGGCGGCGGTCAGCCCTGCAGCGCCCGCCAGGCGGCCAGCGGCCAGCCAACAGCCTTCCGCTCTCCGCGGCCTTTAGACAGCTGCTGGGGCCGCGGCTGCAGCCCGCGGTGCGTTAGGCCGCCCCCGACCCTCGCGCGTGCCCACGCTTCCCCCCACGGGCCCGGCGCCGTGGTTTCGCCCCGCCCCTGACAGGGACCCGGGACTCCCCCCGCGCGCGCCCACCCCGCCCGGCCCGCGCGCTGAGGGGAGACTGGCCCCCCAGGTGTGGCCCGCGTGCCCGCTGTGCCCTTCCCTCAGCGTGCCGGGGAACCCGGCCCCACCCGCGCCACGCGCCTCTGGAGCTCCACAAATGAAAGAGCGACACGGGCTTCGCAGCTTCAGCAGAAAAGAAGCCCTTCGCGTCCGCGGTCTACAGCTGCAAAAGTGCAGTGCTTTTTCCCTAGCGCTTCCCCCTCCCTCAGCCCCATCCTTCTCCCTATTTCTTCTTTTTTTCCTAAAAGAGAGAAACTCCAACAACACACAAAGGGCTGAGCGTGTGCAGCAGGCAAAAGTCTTAAAGGCACCGCAGTCCGACCACGTTGTGGGGTCTGCAAGGACTGGGAGGGGGGGCGATTAGGAACTGCGAAAGTCGCGAAGCGGTTTCCGCGGAGGGACCTCCAAGGGGGAGCCATTTCTTCCTCGGAAATAATGACTCCCCCGCCCCCAACAAAGAACTGCGAGGATCGGAGCCCCGAGCGCGCCGCCCCTTCCAGACGCTGCCTCGGAACCCCACGTATCTCCTTTTCTGCTTGTCAGTGTTTCCTCCTCCATCTGGGACAATATTCTGCCTTGAAAAATATTGCAACATCGGGGCTTTTTTTCAAAAAAACAGAAATGATGGCCAGAAAAGAGCCGTTTTCCTTCCTCAGCGGCAATCTTTCTTCCTTTAGATGACTTTCCAAGATTTGATGGCATATGCTGAAATTTTTGCTTTGTACTTTTGTGCCTTCTCTAAACAGCCTTTTTATTTGAACCCTTGAGAAAGGAAGCCAAACACAAATTGCAGCCATGTATCCTCGAGTTACAGCAATGTTGCTGGAACCCCACCAAAGAGCAGGCAGTTAAGAAAAAGAATTTGAAATCTACCAAAGGCATTTCTGACAGAAAAAGAAAAAAAAGTTTTAGTTGTAACCACATAGTCATAATATTATTGTTAAGATTCAACTCATGTTTATTTTGCGTCATCTCTTTTAATCTCTATTATCCCCACTTCGTAGATGAAATCCTCCATTAACCCCATTTTGCAGATGAGGAGAGAGTGACTCAGAAAGATTGAAATAATTGGTCCATGGCAGGGTAGGAGTAAGTAATGAAAAGAGCTTTAAACACAAGTCCTCTGACTTCTGTGCCTTTTCCACTATTTATTTACCAGGCTGCTTCTATTAGCAGATGCTTTGTTCTTCCTTTGGTGACTAAAATAAAAATAGGTGTTGGCTTGGTTTACAAATACCTCAGCAGTGACTTCAGGAGGAAAACAAAGGTCCAGAAAGAGGTGGCTCCTTTGCAAGTAAAAAAGAAAACGATGATTCTCACTGGTATAACAAACAAATTGTAATTTCCACCGATTATCAGTAGCAGCAATGTCATCATCAAACCTAAAATTAGGATGGCCCCTTTTCCTTTCACATCTTTTCCACATCAGGATGCCCCTTAGAGACTTCTTGAGATGGGGGAAGAAGCAGAGGAAAAAATTCTGCAAAAACCAGTTAAAAGGAGGATGTTGTTCTAGATCACACCTTTTAATTTCCATGACTATGAAATCCAAAAGAACTCTTTCTAGTGTCAGCCACACATGAACAATCTCTGCTGCTTTTTGATTCTTCTTCTGCCAGCCAAAGTTTAAAGTCAGCCACATCTTTCTCACATCTAATGTAGAGTCGCTTTCAGACATGTGGAAAGTGGCCAAGCTCTTAAAATCCTCAGTGAGTGTGAAGGTAATTCAAAGGGTGCACTGGAGTTCCTGTAACAAGAGAGAGAGAGATCACAGCTCAGCCACATACTGACTGTAGCCTATATTTAAGCGAAGGGGGTTTGCCCATTAAAAATACATATCTTTTTATCGACTAGCCACTATAATCAGCTTAATACTTCCCGTTACACTGAAGAACATGTGGCTCCACAGGCCTCCTCTCAACATTGCCTTTAGATCAAGCTGAAAATATTTAACTTATATAAAATTATTCTCATAAGGACTTTACAGAATTTCCACTTACCCTATATTATATTTCTCTTTCACACTCTTTTAGTCAACACTTACTGTTATGAATTTAACCAAGAGAAAACAAAGATGAATAAAGCATGATTTCTAACCCTAGATAAGCTTATCTTCTATCAGGCTCACTAGACTGTGAGATCCTTGTGCAGTTGAGTGTCATGTATTTTACAAATGTATACACAGAAAACTTAAATGATTTTAAATTGTCACATAAAACGTCAATGGCAAAGCTTGCCTAGAATCTTGAGTTATGTTTCAGTATCTTCTATAATCAAGAAATTTTAAAGCCTCCAATATGATGTTGTCTTTTTTCCCTAAAGAAGTAGAGTCAGCATCCTAGGAGTGCTATTCGACACTGAAATAATTCATAGCATTGGTAATAGCAGTCATAAATCTCACAGAAAGGTGAGAATTTACTCCAAAGAGGTAGTGGGGGGAAAAGTCAGTTTTCCTGAAGTAGGATGAAACTGTTAAGAATTATCTATTAAAATTTCTCCAAAAGGAAAGATTTTCTTTAGCCTTACATCAGGACCTTTAGATATTTTGAGGAATGTGTCTCATTTTCTGTTCACACCACGTAACAATAGTATTATAATATGATGGGCAAAAATCTAAGACATCACATCACTGAATTGTTTGAAGGAAATTCAAATAATTTTTTTTAAAGAACAAAAGAAACGATAGATCCAATATCTTTTGATTGCTACTCAAAAAGTAAAAGATGCTATTTGGACTAATGAACTGAGAGCAGACTCTTCTCAGTTGCTTAAATCAAGAATGTTCTCTACTGTGGCTATTGTTCACTCTTTGGCTCCTATGAAGCTTCTGAAAGCAGCCAAGATAGTGAGTGCTGCAGATAGCCTGGCATCAAGGGCTAGCAGTACATTCATTCAAAGGGACCCATAGTGCAAGTGGGGCAGCATTTATAAGACACTGAAAGAGCATTAATGGTCTATGAGGTTAGACAGCAAAGAAAAAAATCAAGTTTAGGTACTCATTAAAAAATTACTAATGGGGCTGGGCGCAGTGGCTCACGCCTGTAATCCTAGCACTCTGGGAGGCTGAGGCGGGTGGATCGCTCAAGGTCAGGAGTTCAAGACCAGCCTGAGAAAGAGCGAGACCCCGTCTCCACTAGAAAATAGAAAGAACTTATCTGGACAACTAAAAATATATATATAGAAAAAATTAGCCGGGCATGGTGGCGCATGCCGGTAGTCCCGGCTACTCAGGAGGCTGAGGCAGGAGGATCGCTTGAGCCCAGGAGTTTGAGGTTGCTGTGAGCTAGGCTGACGCCACGGCACTCTAGCCAGGGCAACAGAGCCAGACTCTGTCTCACAAAAAAAAAAAAAAATTACTAATGATGTTAAAAATGGTCATATGGCTATAATCTGAAAACCACCCCTACCCACAACCAAAATATAACAATCTGCTTTCTCTTGGATTCATTCTTTTCTTCCATCAGTTTCTCTTGCTGTTTCACTTGCAAACACACACATACACTCTGATTTTTGTGCCAATTTTTCAACATAACACGTTTAAAACATATTGTTATAAATAAATCCAAGGAAATTAATCCAAAGATTATAAATTCACTATGCTGGGCTAATACATTTTTTTAAAACTGGGAAATAAAATGAGCATCCTTAAACTTTTCATCCTAAATATTCAGACTTGTTTCCAGAAAAAGTTGATTGCCAATAGTCAATTACAGAAACTTGTCTTTTGTGAAATTTAATTCCATAAAAATATGGGCTAGGACTTTCTGTTAAACATAGTGGATTAAGTATGTGCATTTACTTCTGCTCCCTTCACAAACTCTACCAACATGACGGGAAATTTTTTAAAAATATTTTTTAAAGGTATAAACTCACAATGACAAAGAAAAGAACCAACTTGTAGATGAGCAGTGACAATGCATTTGGAAGGAGAAAAGAGAATGGAGAAGTGATAACTAAAACATACACACCTGCAAGAAATGAGTAACCTGTTTGTCCTGAGGAACTCAAGAAAGCCTCAGGACTCAGAGGTAAGAGTTACCATGGAAAGAAGAGATGGAGCCTGAGAAAAAGGGGAATGGTTAAGGGCAGAATAAAGACCCATAGTCCCCTTCCTCAACCCAAGAGGCTGAAGACTACTCCAAACCCAACCTGGACAGGAGGTTTAACAACTTGGGAAATTGAATCAGAAGCTCCAGACTTGGAGCATCAGGCATAATAGAAGGAGGGAGTGAAGTACACAGCTGAAAATGGAGAGGTTAAACGA